AACAGCAGAAGTAGCTCACCTTTTTCAGCCTCTAGGAGTAGGAAATTAAATAAGGGATTGCGGCAGCAGAAAGAAAAACAGAGGAAAAAAAGAATGGGAGAAAACATCGCCTCACCACTCGGCGATTAGCTGATTGTGCGTGGGTCCTGGAACGAATATCTCATATCACTTATCCTACGGAATGAACTCATTACTAGACCAAAGAGAATTGGAATGTTGTGAATTATAATAATCTGTTATACCTCATGGTAACGGAGAAGCTGCAATTTATTTATTTTTAATTCCCTGAGACCAGTAAGATCCCCACATGGCTGCACGTACTCCTCGATTATATTTGGAAAGTCACATGACAATGCCGATTTTATGGAGTTACTGCGCTATATTTAGTCATTCACTGTGAACGATTAAATGGTGCATTTCTGGTACTGTTATCAGACTTGGCAAAGAATAATAGCAATCTGTATTGCCTCGACACTCGTCTAACGTGACACCGATCGAGGGGCGGGAAAGCGAACTACGACAGCAACGTGGCTTCCACTATGCCCTAAGCGCCGAGATTGTGGGAGCGAGAGGGTCCCTTCTACCACCCATGGGGGGCGCTGAGTATTCCCAAAGGAAGAACTCAGTAACCTTTTTTATCGTGAACCGTGCCTTTAATAAAACATCAAGTCAAAACAAATCGAGTTCATATTTACACAGTTTCTATACTTGGCCGGATTTGGGGCAAGCAAACCAATAGTGGAAGAGTGGAATCAAAATCACCAATGGAGACAGCCTGTTTGAATAGTTTCTTCTCTTTTCGACGAAAACGAGTAGAAGGAATGTGGGACCTTCTTTTCTTTCTTCCCGTTGGTTTCACTCGAGGGAAGACCCTGCTTTCCTGGTATGTTACACAATTTTTTTTCGACTGAGTAATAAACCGAGATAAAAGCCAAGTAGTCTAATTTCTCTCGCGAAGTATCAAGAAAGCGCTTAATGTACGCTCCCTGAGCTGTTTCTCAGCGCGTCATGATTGTTGTTAATCTCACAAGCCCTGTTTTTACCGCCTAAGAAGTGGCTATACTAACGGACAGCAGGAATCATGTGTTTGGATCCCGGTATTTCGATAGTATAGCATTGGTGTTCTCACTACCCTGAGCATTGTTCGGATTCTTTGGTCATTCCAGCATTCCGCACCGTAAGTTGCAATTGCAAGTTATACGGATCCATTCATCCTCAATTTGAGGCACTCTGTTCCCTTCTTGCCGCAAAGAACGAAAGTCATCGAGGGGTATTCAGACCAGGCCGCATCCACATCCACACAGAATTAACTTCACAGCCAGATTGCCCTCGAGCGCGATTGCAGATCCAAGATTTTCTCAGTTGTCATGTTGTCAACCCCTTGATCTTCAATTGATCCTGCACATTCTTTTTTTTGCGCAATGCATTATGTCGCCAGCGTGAAGGAGCGTTCATGGTACTGGCTCCAGAACATCTCGTGTAATGACATCTATGACGACAACCAATAGCACTGAGGAAAGTGCAGAGCCTTTGTCCACCTCGACGGAGATGGGAAATCTAGAAGAAGAATCTGCTGCTGTCCGCACTCCTGCCTTGGAATCGAGTATAGTATGCGCACCAACTCGATGAGTCTTTCAGAGATCATGCTGTAGAAGAGCATGTTACGTAAATTGACCTGGCAGGTGATTGAAAGCCTCCTACAAGGCCGAAAGATTCTTTCTTCCGGTGCTCTTTGAAAGGGATGAGGTTTGGTTGGCCAATAGGCAAGACCGCATCCTCTCTTACATATTCGAATGGTGGTACCCATCGCTACTATTCGAGCGCGACGGCGCGGCCTTTTGTGTGACTAATTAAGTGAAAAAACCCCTTCACGTTACCGTCTCCTTACACTGAGCGTAGAGGTCAACGAGTGAGTTTGCTGGTTAGGTAGTTTCAGAATTTGCCTCACTATCGCTTTACTGCTTCCTCGCGGTCAATTTGGAGATGATAACTTTCATCTCTGATGCCGAAGGAAATTTCCTTGTCATCGTCCTGTCTAATGCATCAAAATAATGCGGCTTCTGCAGAGGCAAGGTTTTTTGCACTCTCTTCTCCACACAGTAGTTCTGACAGTGATCGATAAAAAATAAGCGTAAAGCCCTTTCTTGCTGCGTGCCTATTCTCCAACACGCTTGCTTGTAAGTTCTCCACTGTCCGGGTTTTGTCTTACTCAGATCACAGTCTGAGTGAGCAGCTGTACGTGTTGCTTCGACATCACGTTTCCAAGTTCCTCGACAGTCCGAACTGGCAATAGGTGGATTTTAGTAATCATAGTGCTTCGTTTTCCTCCAATCGCCACCATAGTTGTGCAGACCCTTTTTGTCCAAGTTGTTCCCCTTCCATACGCACAGCCTTCGTATCTATCAGGAGCTGTTGAAAGCGGTGCTTGACAGGAGCATCGTCTGTTCTTGTTTAGCCGCTCAAGGTTGGAAGAAGGTGTCACATTTCCGAGACTTCGAAGGTACTGGTAAGCTCATGTGGGTCAACCTATGCAAGAATTCCATCACCATCAGCTTACGCGACCCATAGACAAACCTATCATGGCAACTGTAATTGGCGCCATTGCGCTCAATAGGGTCACTTCCGACAACAGCTGATTCACGTTGTGGTTCTCCAGCAGTTAACTCAGTGAGCACGAGCCAGAACTTTCGCTTCATTTGGCCAGAGTACTTATTTGTGGAGCGCGGTAGTGTGATCCAAGAGCGTCCGAAGTTCGGGCTTTTATTGCTTACCGTCCTCCATATAATGCGTGACTTCTGGACTAGCTTGGCTGCCTTCTTACAGTGAGAACATAATGCTCCAATCACAACAGGTCAAAGCTCAGCCTTTGTGTCACAGTTCTGATATCTGCCAGAAGGTCATTGCTTTCTCCCAGACCCAACACAAAATTGATAGTCATCAGTTTGACAATTTTTGAATTTCAGACGAGCCATCACTCCGTTATTAGCCAGTAAGATTGTGAAGGAGAAATTGGTAACAATCGAGAACGAGGTACGACAAAGTAACCCTTCCAGCATTAGTTCGATAGTTTCAGTAGTGCCCCTGTACTTATTGGGAGTTATCACTTATCGATTGCAACATATCGATCGAAGTTACAAAATCTATCAAGATAACTTATGTGGTTCAGGACATTTCCCTGTTATTCGATGAAAATGGGCTGGTTTCGTCGATCACTGAAAAGGCATCGAATAAGACCTACCCATTCCGTCAACAATTTTTCTATTACAAAGGTAACTACAATATCTTGAATATGTTTTTTCGAAAGTTACTACACATCAATGTTGAAAGTATCACTTGTATCATCTGTCGTCCCGTTGATTCATTTGCTCTGGCAGGACTTCTACAATTATAACTTTCGTGAGGCATTTCAATTAGTGGATCTCTTGCTGCACCCCACTCTGTTTGCTGCCTTCTGCTCAGCTCCAGAGCTAGGTTAATTATAATGTTGATTCTTGGTTAGGATTCACCTAACCAGAGCATTCAGAAAGAAAGGCCAAGGGATTATACTGAACGAGCCCATTTCTCATGAGCGACGTCTCATGCCAAGGGGTGTCGAATTCAGCCTGCTCTGGTTCCGCCCTGCTTGATTTTTGTTGTTATGAGCACGATATTGTCTGTCTAGCGAACGCTCAGCCGACACGAATACTTTGCCACTTCCCTAACTTCCACTCTTTGGCTTTCAGCCTTTTCACTCGCTGTCTTAGATTCGGCATCCTTGGGTGTCCATTATCATCTATACACGCTCGGCCACGGCCATCCCACTTTGGAAGAGAACGTGGATTTATGCAGGCTGACTTGGATCCTTGGACTATTGAAGAATAGGTGATTGGAATAGATCTGATTGGTTCAGAACAACTTGAATTCAAAAGCTGGGTAGATTTTGGTAGTGCTAACCAGCGACTATGTTTCTCACAATGCGCTACTCTTGTGCTCCTAAGCCGAAGAAGATCGACTGCAAAAAAAAAAGATGAATTGAATCAATTTACTTGCTACTTTAGGTGTGATGAATGATACTCAACCATCGGGCGCTTACGTTTTTCGCCCAGATGGAGACGCGATTAAAGTGGAAAAAGCTCAGTTGGAAGTGATCAAGGTAATGAATTCTTATTGTAAGCAAGAATATTCGGTGCTGCTGAAATTCCCTTTTCCAGGGCGATCTTGTGCAAGAGGTACGTCAAACCTTCAACTCGTGGATTGCGCAAGTTATAAGGCTTAAAAAGGGCACCAAGCCTATTGAGTTCGACTGGATTATCGGTCCGATTCCGAAGGAGGCAAAGTGTGTCCGTTGCTAGTCTTTGACTATTAAAATGTACTCTTTTGTATGAGAAAGCGCTCCTTGTTGGGGGCTTTTCATCAGAATGCTAACTCTCTTGACCCTTTTTATATCGTTCGGTGATTACACCACTTCGATCATGTTTCCAAACACTGCTTTCACTTTCGACTCTCTACAGCCACTCCACAGCATATCTAGCTGAGAACAGTCCCTCGAGAAACAAGAGATTGGTGCGAGTAGGATCTAGGAATGTCCTCTCAGAATTTTTAGGCTTTCGCAATGTGACGCATCCATTGTGCATGAACACCCTAACGGTCAAGAGTTTTGAATGTCATCCGCGTGACTAGAATTCTGTCAAAAGCGAGGAGCAGCCCGACGCAACCGGATGATGAAATTACAGGGTGTATCCCAGAGAATCTCGGGGAAATTATTCCCACCTGGAAAAGCTCCAATTCTATGCGGATTCGATAAAGCCACGCCATTTGCGTGTAGCGCATCGCTCCCGAATCTCAAGGTAAATTTTAGGATGCCACTGAAAGGTCTCTAGCGGGGATAGTTGGTGCAACTTATAGGGCACCATTGTAAAATAAATAAAAATTAGAAAAAATAAGTACAAGTACATATGTCGTTAAATATGAGAAGCTCTAAAGAGTAAAATTACAATAAATGTATGAAGATTAAGCTTGCATCCGAACGGGACGAGATCGAGGTTTGAAGTTTGAAAAAATCAACTGAATCTCCTGTTTGCAACCTCACTAGAGTTGTGCATCTATAGAAACAATAGATGTAGAGTTTGAGAGGAAGATAAAATTAGCTCGTATAACTGCAGCGATATTACTTGAAATGTTCTGGACACGTCGCATTCGCCCGTGGAAGAAGCAGAGTAGAAACAGAATGAGGCTTGTTGAGTTTACTCTTAACATAGGAAGTAAAGGTATCAGTAAATTAGTCAGGCGGTGAGTTGTACAAGATTGCCGTTTACCAAACTGACAAGCCTCTGCAACACTGGCGCACTCGGTGTTTTATTCAACTGCCCATTGAAAATAATTCAGATTACATAAAGTTTCACCATTCAAAAGTAATACTATCTCGAAATCGCGCTGTGCGGCGTCTCATTTGCGGCATGATCTGGTTTCGTCGGCGATACAGTAGGACATCCCTCAATCGTGTACAAGACGGCTTTCTTCGTCGCGTGAATGTGCCACACAGTAAGCCGAATACACCCTCAAGCGGCCTCAAACAATGTCACATATACGACGCAACAGAAAAGTAACCCCGATGAAGCCCACGAGGTGGGCTCCGGGGCACTAGGGGGGTGCTTTGTCACGCGTTCACGGGACGTTAAAATCCCTCCGTACCATTCTACATAGGTGCGAGGTCTTCAGCATGGAAGATATGTGGAATTACCCAGAACTTTTTACAGCTAAAGTACGATTTCTTTCGTAATACACTGTCTTGCAATTACTTTTTAGGCCTATTTTTTAGTGGTTATGACCTTACTGGTCATTCGAAAGCTCAGTTATTTCTTGTTTAATACCGATTCTGCAGAGACAATGAATGATTGTTAGTACAATATAACTATATTGATTGTTAATTATATCTCATGCAGGAATCCCGTAACGAAGGAAATTGTCACTCGATACATCACCGATATCAAGAATGCCGACGTCTTCTACACGGACTCGAATGGACGGCAGATGATGAAACGACAGTATGTTTACATTTGGCCACGGAATACGATGGAAGGTGATTCCAACATCTATCTTCTTTTAGGAAAAATTTCAACCCTTCATTTAAGTATGTGGACTCGGAACCGGTCTCTGGTAATTATTATCCAGTTACTAATAGGGCTTTTATAAAGGTAACGAACGGCTATGGTTTTTGCTTTAGTGGCAGACCTAATTTATCGAGTCTTTGTTCCTTCAGGATGACAAACGACAACTGACTGTTTTGACTGATCGAGCTGAAGGTGCAACAGTGCTTGACGGCGGATTGGAAATCATGGTGAGCAGAAGAAGAAAAGTTTTCTTGCATTGGAATTTCCCTATCTCGCACTTAATTTTCAGCTACATCGACGTTGTTTCGCAGATGATCACTGGGGGGTCGAAGAGGCTCTTGACGAGCCTGGTTACGGCAGTGGTTTGGTAGCGCGTGGAACTCATTACGTACTACTCGGAGAAACGAAGGTTGAGTTTGTTAATCCAAGCGTTTTTAATTTTTAAGTTCCACTGATCGGTACCACACACTATGATAGGTCAGAAAGAAATCCGGCTTGGTAATAGAACTGAGAGGTATTCTCTGAATTTGAGTCCTGGCTTCAATCTTAAGACTGTATGTTTTGAATCCTGAAGAATTAGGTTTATTTCCTCAAGGATGAGGCTCGCCATGCTTCGTGCATCCAGCCTCTCCGTACTGGTATCGCATTTCTCGAGAAGAAACGCCAACCCTACCCTATATACGTAATTTGATAGATTTATCTGTTGGTGTCTGTATGTGTGCATGTACAGTAGCGCTCAAAAGTCTTCGGCCAAGCGCTTTTAAGCTTTCTCGGGCGTAACTTTTTTATTATTGAAGCAAATTGCGCGAAATTTTGATATGTTTAAGTGAAGCATATTTCACACTATCCAGTACTGCTTGACAGCAAAGCAGCGATATCCACGTAACTAAGGAGAAGGTGTTTGTTGCAGTAGTAGACTTGGCTGAAAGCAAAGTTTGCGACGTCTACAGCTATTCGCACCTTATGTGCATTTTTCTCCTTCACTGTGTTCGGCATCAGCCCTCGTACACTTTAGACACGGCAAAAAATAAAGAAATCCACCAAGGGCAATCGCCTGTATTTCCAGTTATTTTTGAGTTCAAGCTCTTTAGTATATCTGGAATATAATCAGATCGCGGGCTGATCGTGGTAATGGCTCAAAATTTACAAATGCTATACATATTTGAATTTCGCATGATTAGATCCAGTAGGAAAGGCGTTACGACTGAAAAGTACGACTGAAGAAGCATTTGGCCGAAGGCTTTTGCGCGCTACTGTATCTGTTTATGTAAAGCGGAGATGGCGTAGTGGCGAAGGACGAAGATTGAAGGATCAAAACCGGATCGATACCCACCCAGATCAACCGTGCTGAGAAGTTGCACAATTGGTACCCGACTTGTCTGGGATGATAAAAGAATTCGTTGTACATTAGCGGTCCACCGCAAGTCATTGAAGGCCAAACATGCAGAACGAAACCACGATTCCAAACAGAAGTCTGATGTTAGAGCGCACTCCAAAACGCGAACTGATCAACGCTGAAGACTTGGTCTTCATCCTTGTGTGTATATGCTTGTGTATATGCATATTTATATGTATGGATTAGTGTTTCGTAAGATAAGGTGTAATTGGATCGCGTATAACGGGTCACAGAAAACCTTACAAAATTGAAAAGTGACCCTCAGGGAGTGAAAAAATTAAGTTCCTGACTTCTTTCTTTCCTGAAAGCACAGTACGCGATAACAATGGATTTCGGAATCACCAACTGGGACGAGTCCGTGGCTTCTTAGGATGCTAAATGGAACGTTGCAGAGTAGTGAAGTAGCCTAGATAGGGCGCAAAAAAAGCTCCAAAACCGGTGACATCGATGACCACACCAAGAAATGGACGTACTCAGCAGCCTTTTTAAGCTATACTGTAGTACGCCTTCGAAAAAGGAAGGCATTATAATAGTCGTCAGAGAAATAGGACATATAAACCGCAAAGCTGAATCATTGACTCCATAGAGTCCTGGCCCATGGCTGCAGTGCAAAGCAATTTTCGGCTGCTGAGGTACCGCAGCCAAGTCTTCACGCAGTTGCTTATCTTGCAGCTACTGAAAACTCGTTCAAACATCCCTTTGCTCGGTATGTCCTCGTGCAACCCTGAAAACTCTTGCTTTCAAGGACCTTAATCCCCATCCCGACTGTTTTTCTGTATCGACACCTCCGCTCAGCTTGAAAGCAGCATAAAAACATCGCGAATCCTGCTTCTTTAACCTTGACACTTTATCATGTTTCTTACGATGGGACGAGATGATCGAATAGTTTGGAAAAGTGGCAATAGCAGCGAGAAGGATTTATAAGTCTACTGAAGCATAAAGAAGTGCGATTGGGTGTATTCTCCGCTATAAGATTACGATCTCCAGTTAACGTCTGGGATTCATTCGGAAATCACATTTTTTCATTTTAATATCATTTGTGACGAAACTTTTCCGAACAACAGGACCATACTATCAGGGGTCATTCAAGGATTTTACTTACTGTTCAGTGTTTTACTATCACTGTGTTTTGGTCACTGTTTATTTACTGTTGTTGTTCGCTTCTAGAAAAGTTGCAATAGCAGTACGCCACGTAAGAGAAGGACTCGAATCATCACAGCTAATGTTTAATTCATGGTAGGATCGAGAGCAACTAAACGAAACTTCCCCTAGTTATAAGCGTGAGCCTCGCCATATATCACCACGAGCACCAGATCCACTGCTCTTCCCTCCCCTTCGAAGCAGGGGATTGAGTGGTTTTCCTTTTTAAAGCCCTGCGTCAAATCGCACGTGTAATTCTGGGCATTCTACTTCGAAAATATTGTGATCGGAAATGTCCATCTCTATTCCAGACAGCTGCTGCCATTCATCGACCGTTAGCAGTCGACATCTTCCACAGTCCCCAATTGACATTTGCTCCTGTGAAAAACGCGAGTGACTACGCTCGACGCTATCGTATGAAAGTATGTACTAGTGACGATTTAAGTTTTTTCCGTAACATCGGTGTGTTTATATGGGAGTTGCATCGGCCCGGACCGACCGACTTTAGTACATAGTATTATTAATTCGTTGGACATAATTGGGCAGTGGAAGGTGAACAGAAATACATATTAGGTCGTTAAAAAAATTCTTGGGCCGGTTTTCTTTCAACAGCTCCAGATTTTCTATCCTTGATCGATTGATCGTGGCGACTGCAGATCGCTCTCAAAGCTCAATAATGAATGATTAAGCAAATAAACTTTTTATTTCACAGTTTTCCGCTCTGCGACGATCACTTCCACCATTCGTCCATTTGATGACGCTCGAACGATGGCACCGTCGAAGCCTTTTGCTACGTCTCGAACATATTTTCCAAAATCAAGAAGATTTTGACAACAGCAAACCCATGAGTGTCGTATTGGATGTGAGTTAGCTGATTGACTTTTTCAAGGCTCAATTGGGTCATGTAGATGATAATTTTAAAAAAATGAAAGACCCACGTAACCTCTTTCATATGTAGAAGTGCCTTATGAGTTTTTGGTATTCGACAAGGCTGAAGAAAGCTATGATCGTTTACAGGACCTTTTCACTCAGTTCAAGGTCGTCAACATTACTGAAATGACTTTGGCTGGAAATCGGAACGCTAGTCGAAAATTCTTCCCAGAAAGACCAAACCGCACTTCAAGTATGAGCTCTTCAGCAGGTTCTTCTATGTATGTCTCCTAGACTACTGAACAGCAACTGTTCGATTTTAGGCAACTTTACGGTCGTGCTCGAGCCTTCAGAAATCCGGACCTTTGTGATCGGCGTCCAATGGAATTGATGAATATTGATTTGTTCGTAAACTATATGATAGTTACTATTAAGCAGCATTAATCATTTTGTATTGTGTTAACTCTGTTATCATGTACTTACAACAAAATGAAAATTGCCAAGGGCGCATATCTTCACTTGTACACACTGTATTACTACGAAAATCACTTTGAGTGACTAATCCCAAATCATCTGATCAATCGATAAAGGGAACCTTCAAGNATTACTGAAATGACTTTGGCTGGAAATCGGAACGCTAGTCGAAAATTCTTCCCAGAAAGACCAAACCGCACTTCAAGTACGAGCTCTTCAGCAGGTTTTCTATGTAGACCTCCTAGACTACTGAACAGCAACTGTTCGATTTTAGGCAACTTTACGGTCGTGCTCGAGCCATCAGAAATCCGGACCTTTGTGATCGGCGTGCAATGGAACTGAAAATATTGATTTGTTCGTAAACTGTATGATAGTTACTATTAAGCAGCACTAATCGTTTTGTATTGTGTTTACTCTGTTACCATGTACTTACGACAAAATGAAAATGGCCAAGGGCGCATATCTTCACTTCCACACAGCGTATTTCTTCCAAAATCACTTCCCAAATAAACTAATCAGTCCATAAAGGGGACCTCAAAGGAAATCATGGAAATAAATTGATAAAATTGGCAATCGCTATTGAGAAGGAATCGAAATGTATGTATGCCATCACACCTTGCCATTTATTGTACAGCTCCACAAGCACAGTCGCGTAGCCAGCGATAGTGTAAAAACCTTTGCCCTTAGTCATAACTACCAGGTACGATTCCGTAGACAAAAATACTTACAGAATGACAACGCAAGTCGAAGTTTCTCTTTGGAAACTGTCTAAGAGTCTCCGAGCTTGCTTGGTTCAAAGTTGCTCATCAACCGAGCTCCCCAGGCATTGCCTTTTCTTGCCACGTGCTCCGTCTTCTCAAACATCACTTTGTTGGTAAAAAAGTTCGTAATTTATGTAATCTGAAAATGGCAGGCAATGATTTCTTTAACTTAGACTTTCCTAACTGCTGGACAAAATCCACCAGAGATATGCTCGGAAGATGAAAGAGGGCTATTCATCTTTCTGGTGAATATATTCTACCATTTCATTAATTCTGAAAAATTCAAAAATGGATTTAGAATGGCTTCCATTCTGTCTGAGCCTTATCTTGCCGAACTGATAGAAGCAGAGCTGATGAATCAATGATTGCGTAAATAGAAAAGGAAAAAAGCAGAACCTGTAATGTTTTTTACATTGTAAATGTAATGAGATATAGTCTAGCTCACCACTTCTCAATCTTTAATTATTTACTTTCTGAATGACAAGGCTCGGATTTCTGAGTTCAGGGCTGTTGAATACCAGAGAAGTTCCTTGGATCTTTCAAGTGTCGCTCGCTGTTTCAAAGGCTTAACTCACGATAAAAATGGTTTCCCAGATTCCTCCCTGAAATGAACCTATGACCCCCAAAGACAGCACAATGGATCCAAAAACGGTCCGGACTGGGCATAAAAATGACCCCAAAACCGCTTTTGTCGATGTGCACACCCGATGGCAGTGTTATGTCGACCTTCTTGAGACTGCGATATTCGAAATAAAGCGTTGGGACGCGACGAATGTGGGAGACACTCGGTCGGCTACACACGGCGATATCGTACAACTCCCTTTTCGCTGCGTTTTTCAAAATATTACATTTTTTAAAATCTATCGGCTCTTCCGCTTTCTTCGCCATTCTTGCTCTACCGTGCACCATAACTTCCATTACTTCACTCAAACTAGATACCTCATCATTATGAACAAATGATGCTCTCTGAAATTGGGCCAGTGTCGTCACCTCGTTCGTAGTGCTTTGAATTCCCCTTCAATCATTACAAGAGAGTATGCCTACTACATAGAAGTCATCTTTCATGTTCATTATTCAGTAATGAATTCTAATCCGTAACGGAACGAAACATTCAGTTTTTCCGAGAGCTTTTTGAGAAGCAAGTATAGATAAGTATAAATAATTGAATAAAGAACATAGAGGTTGAGTACTTCAAGTATTGTAAATTATACTATATTTTTGTGCATTATGATTGCAGGTTATTAGTGTAAATATGATATTGTTGTTTTCAACGTTGAGTGTTGAATTTCAGTAAAAGTCACTCACGATTCAAATGCACTGAATACCAAGACACAATTAGTTTTGAGAGATAGGCAAAGGTTTTTTGCCTATATTTCCACCAGTCTGTAAAGAACCAAAGTGGCATCCGTAGTTATGGAATTAACAACGACGAGGCTTCTTCCTGATAGGGATAATATATGTAGGTGTGACATTACTTATGCGGAACAGCTGTTCGAAAGAACATTGGGTCACACCTTAAGTAATTCTCTTTACGAACGCAAATTAAGTAACTCTGGATGTCTTAGAAGTAAAGCTTAAGAATGCTCGAAAATGAGTTTGAAGTTTAGTGACGAACGAACTAAATATAACATTCATGAGTGGGATGATGCACTGAGTGAAACACTGAGAAGCAGCGATGTTGTTTTTGAAACAGACGTTTTCAAACAACTCCGCTGTCACTTCTACCTTATCGATTGCTTATACTGCTGTAGAGCTATTGGTTTTTTTTNTTTTTTTTCATAGTGCTCATCTCTATCTTGCCTATAAAAACAAAAACTTTGAAATTTTCCAAAAGCACTTTGTTATTCGTCTCCATTACTGTTTTCTTTAACTAATATGTTGTATTCGCTTGTTTTCAAACCTTTCTGAAAAACCTAATCCGGTTAGCTTCTCTAGCACTAAATTCTCGTATTGTGAACTTAACGAAGTGCGCATGCAGATTGAAACGTTGGATGGAGCGTATTGGAAAGGCATGAATAAAGCTGCACAATAATGTAAATACAATAGTTTTGAAACATGGTATATACACAGAACATCTATTCTGCACCCGCTACTTACAACAAGTGATAGTTTTTGACTATTTAAAAAGTCCCGCTATCTAGTAATTTCTTCTATCGAGTTTTGAGAAAAATCGAGAAAGTAGTCTACTACATATAACGCGCTAATGTGTTTGTTGGCTTGTCTGTGTGTGTATGTGTGGTATGTGCGTATGTTGAGTGTGTATGTGTGTGGTGTGTGTGTTGTCTGTGTGGTGTGTATGTGTGTATGTGTGTGTGCGTGTGTTTCCATCCAGAGTCATAGCTCATAACCCCATGGAGCTGGAGCGTTCAAATTTGTTAGGTGTACAGGCGGTAGGGTTGGAACACTGACGGTAGGTAGTAAACCTTGACTACCTCTACAGGGGTTACGTCGAATCTTCTTCTTTTTCTTCTCCCCAGCGTTAATCCCGCGCCGTCGCAGGTCCCGTGTTCCTTCAGCCGTCTCCACTTCATTCTATCTACGGCACCTTCTGCCGTCACCTTGGCTTCGGCGAGGTCCTTCCTGATCACGTCCCGCTATCTCTTCTTTGGGGCTCGTCGCGGTCGCTTACCTTGCGCCTCGAAGTCCATGGTCTCCAATAAGTGATGACTCTGTGGTCTCTTCAGAACATGCCTGAACCCTCGAGGGCGCTGCTCTCTCATCTTCGGTTGAACTGGGGCTGTTTGCATAGCTGTCCTGATGTCTTTATTTCTGACCCGATCAGCCGCGTGTAGCCGCAGGCCCATCTGAGCCTTCTCATTTCGGAGGAGTGGAGCTGTCCTTCATGGTATTTACTTATGGGCCAACACTCCCTGCCATAGGTCTTTATCATTGTCCGATGCACCTTTCGTTTGAGAGTCCTGGAGCACCGGCGGTTACAGAGGATACCGGTGAATTCCCTCCACTTCATCCATGCCGCATTCATTTGGGATTTTAAAGTCTGGTCCACGCTACCATCGGCGGCTAGATCATCCCCCAGGTATTGGAACTCTTGGACCTCTTCGATGGCTTCCCCGTGACCGTCGACGATTGACTCCGTGTCATCCTCGGAGCTGAGGAATTTCCTTTTCTTCGCGTTCAGTTGGAGTCCATTCTGCGTCAACATTTTGTGCTTTTTGGAGCTTGTCCTGGCGCTCTTCCTTGCTGTCCGCTATCAGAGCGATGTCATCAGCGTAAAGGATGGGCTTCGGTAGTCCATGCATAAGTTTTCTGTGATGACGTTCATCGTGAGCAGGAAGAGGAATGGGCTCAGAGCTGATCCCTGGTGTACCCCAACCGTGAACATCTACTGCTCCGGTTTGGCTGTGTGGAGTGAGTATTGTTGTGGTGGAGCTATCGTTCCTGTCCTTCACCAGAGAGATCAGGTGTTTTGGAAACTTTCGTTTTCGGAGCGCTCTCCAGGGGATTTGTCGCGAGAGACGGTCGACTTCCTTCTCCAGATCGAGGAAGGCTAAGTAGCAGTGTCTGCCAAATTGGCTAAGCGAAATTGGGACCAATTCTCTCAAACTTGAATCGACCAGCCGTTCGCACAGTTTCATTCAAGAGCAGTCAACCTGGTTACCCGGTAGTTGGAACACTTCATCGCGTCCCCCTTCTGCTTGAAGATAGGACCGATAGTACTGCTCCTTCACGCATCTGGGATTCTTCCTTTAGCGGTTACAGTGTTCAGGAGTCGGATGAACCACTTCATCCCGTGCTCTCCGAGAGCCTTCCATGCCACGATCGGTAGTCCATCCGGAACAGTTGCCTTCCCAACCCTCATCTTTCCCACTGCTCTACGCACCTTATACTCTGTTCAGAGGTTGATGGGGCCAACCGTTGCCTCTAATTGGGAGCTATTCTTACGGGCGAATTCTTTGTTAGGGAGCCTGGCGAAGAATTCCTTCCACCTTACAGGCTAACAGGCATAACCTCACAGGCTTCCTCAGGGTTGCACCCTCGTTGTTCCTGACGGACTTCACTACCCCGCTGTCCTGAGTGGTGCTGTGATGCTTTTCCGCCAGGCGGAAGACGAAATTCCCTCCTTCTTGACTGTTGACTTTTTCATACAGGGTGTCCACTTCCGTGTTCTTCGCCTTCGCGACAGCAGCCTTGGCGAGGGAAGTTCTGTAGGCAGCTAGGTCCTCTGGAGCCCGTGTCCTCTGCCAGCTTTTGTAAGCCGATTTCTTCTGCCTTACAACTCGTTGGACTTCATCATTCCAGAACTATGCTTCCCTGTCCCCTCAGAAACCACCTCGAGTTTCCCCCAGCGTTTCCTCTGCACATCGCAGGATGACCTTTATAGCGTTGCTCCAATTTTGCTGGATCCCCTTCGGGTTTTGAACGTCCAGCTTCCAGTATCTCCTCTTTGAGATGTTCCCTTTCGGATTGGTTCAAGTTCCACCAACGGATCCTCCGTTCCGTTCTTGTCCTTGATTTCTTGGGAGGATCGATGGCTATGTCTGCTAGAAGAGGCGTGTGCTGTGGAGCCAGTTCTTCTCCAAGCAGTACCTTGATGCCCTTACCCTGTCTCCTTACTTGCACGTGATCTATTTCTGTATCTTTCCCTCCACTGCTTAGGTCACCTTCTGAGACTTCTTTTTTGCGAAGAAGGAGCTGATGACTGCCAAATCGTGGGCTGTGGCTAGGGCAAGGACCCTCTCTCCCTCTTAGTTTCTGATTCCTACCCCTATACCTCCATGTACCCTTTTTGGTTCCCTCCTTTCACTGCCGACGGGCCCATTCAGATCACCTCCTATGGTGAGATAATGCCCCACCGGAACTGATAGGAGGCCTCGTCAACGCTCAGGTAGAACTTATCCTTTTCGTAAATGGGGCGGCCGGTTGTGGTGCGTACATTGATATTATTGTGCAGTACTCTTCCTTCGCATCTATCCTCACAGCCATGGTTCGACTGCTGATCCTGTTGACGGCGGAGACAGAGGCTTAGAGGGATTCTGCCACTGCTATGGTCACATCATTTCGTTTGGTGTCTTCTCCGTAGTAGAATAGTTCACACCCTTTCCAAGTTCTCTGGCATCTGCTCCCTTCCAGCGGGTCCTCTGGACATGAGTTCTGAATTTTCCTGCGCTTCACAAGTTCAGCGACCTCTCGGGACTTCCCTGTAAGCGATCCTACATTGACTGCTTTCTGAACTGAACTTGTCCCTCCTTGTTTACAGCCCTTCGAGGGGCTGACCGACCGTCCGCCGCCCTCCTCCCCCCTAGCACTGCCTCGTGGCACGCCGGCATGCCGGCCTGCCGGCGGACTATGAAGGCAGCCATTCAGAGTCCCTATTCGAACTAACTTCTTTGGTCGAGGTCATTCACTCTTCGGTAGCCGTCGTATACTGTCCACAGAACTCGGGCTGGGGTACTGTGCGCCACTTGCGGGTGACGTCCTAGCTTTATCACTGATAATTTTTGAGAATTCAGACATGTTTGTTGTTAGGTTTCTCCATCGCCGGCCTCTCACCCTGGGCTTGACGCTGGTATCGAAGCATTTTTGCAATTTCCGCAAGGCATGGAACTGCCTCGGCAGGGATCGAACTCGCACTCCCTCTAAGTGCAGACGTTAGCCTATACTCTTATCCACTCGGCTATCCCTGCCTAGGGGTTGTTTCGGGCAAGCTTGCAAATTTTCAATTTCGGTAGGAGTACGTGAGAGCGAGACGTGCCGGACTGTGTGTGTTCGGCCCGAAATCAGTCGCTGTTCCCCTGGAACCAGAGCGTCCAAATATGAAAGAGGTTCAGGCGGGGAGCCAACTTTAACATGGAAGAGTGGAGAGCCCGGCTTCAGCCGAGCCATGGGACTGGTACCATACAAAACCATAATGAAGGCCACCTCTAACCGCCTGTCTTTTCATCCGATCATATTCGTGCGTTTTATGTGTTTTATTGCGTGTTTGTTGGACGATTGGCTACCTCTTATCAAATTTTACCTATTTGAGTCACTACTTATCCAAAATTTCATGTCGTACTTTCAGCGCTAAATTTCAGGTTTTGATATTCACAAAGAGAGGCGCTAAGTTCAAGAAGTCCATCGTTGTCCACTTCCGTATCTCGGTGGTTTTAACGATAGAGTGGTTCATCATAAATATAAACGGGAAACTGAAGCGGCTGTCTCGCGTATCAAATACCGTGTAGGTGATGATGGGGATACAAGATCATACTATGACCACTCCGTCCTACGCTCCTTCTGAAGTACGAGAAAAAAACCGACTACTCATCGCACCCTTAGACAGAGAGTGCCTATCGTTACTGAGCAGCCGACTCATGGGGACTATCATGGAGTGAAGATTCGAAGGTTACGATTAAAACAGATATAGCCTAGCGTGGAGACAAAATGCACGAATGTCAAACTGAACACAATGGACTTTGATGGTCTTCAGTGCCTGCTCTACAGCGCTGGTTCCCATATATCCAACTTCGCCAACAATCTCGGATTATCTGATCTAAGAAGGTCTTGTTGAAAGCCCAATAACAGAGTCAGCTGATGATACCTCACAAAGAGCAATCATTAATGCTCGGAAGCGTTCCACAGGTCAACTTCTTCCATCCCAAGAGGCGAGTTTGGAGCAAGAAGAAGTCCAAGTCACGCCAATAGCAGAAAAAAGAACCTAAAGATTTCACAAGATTTGGTCAAGGCTACAAGATGGGCCGACCTTTCACTAGAGCCCGCATATGTAGTTATATTAGGACGGCGTAGCTAAAGAGGAATAGCTTCGCATCATCTTCAGAGCACAGTTGCCACTGGATATGTAGCCAATGGAAATCCATTCGAGATTCGTGGATACTTGAAGACTGACTTAGGCTTTACCAATTTATCTGCAGAACATTCAAATAACTGTGGAACCCGCTCCCTAACTGACGACAACTGCAATGCCTTTAGAATATCGCGGATTGAGCAACTTCCAGACCTCTAAGAAGCAGCCAGGAGGTGCGCTAGGTCGAGATGGGACATCTTCAAATGAGGTATCGAACACTTCACGACGACCAAGGTAGCTCTGAAGCTGAAAACCGACGCTTCATCAGTACTCAAAAAGGATTATCACGTATCACTTCAACGTCGCCGTTTTAGACAAGAAGATCGATCGTTTACTGGCAAAAGGTGTACGCTCCCACACCACCTACTCAATATAGGACTACACCTATCATGGGTACAGAAAAACAAAGGGGTTTCTGAGCTTGTGCGTTTACGCAGGATGCAACAACGCTCGAGTGCTACACCTGAACTTGCTGCCCACATCCGACGACGTCATCCTGAAAAGGAATAACGGAACCATTTCATGCACCCTGATCTTGCTGACTCATACTTGCTTGTGATAGTGAGCTCGTTGACGCTTACTTTGCCTTGATCAGGAAGATCTAGATCTGGGGTAATTCTTTGTGCAGAATTTTGTATTGAATATACTGCAGAAGGCATTCTCGAAAACAGGTTACGTAGAACATTTTCGAGAGCATGTTAAGAGAATTTCAGGTGAGAACCTCGAGTGGACAAACACTCAACTTCTCATCTAAAACGCTCCATTAAGTCAGGTTCCAGTTACATTATGTTCTGTAGTGTGACGAAAGAACAGCATAAAAGGCGGAACATATAGTTGACCATCCTTTGTAGCCTAACCGAGAGCAATTCTGTGTACATTTTCTGGGCGCTGCCTTTTTAATTCTTCTTACATTTGAACTGTATTTTTTGTTTCACATTCAAGCTTCTGACGTTGGATTCGCTCATGAATCATGGGCGTGTCTGAAGGAAAGATCACTGCATTAGCTCATGATAGGCAAACAACCACCTCCACCATTCGGTGACGTGCAAGTTGTTACTATTGCATGCATGGTCCCGGGGTCGAATCCCGTATTGATATTTGCCAGGATAGTTAAGTCTTTCTCTCTTTCCTACGTGATCGGTACTGGACTCGGACAGAACATTGACTTGTTTTATTGACCGGCCACCGCAAGTTATTGCACAGGCCAATTGATCATTCAAAAATGCCACTATTATTGCGATTGTGAGTGGAAGTGAAATGCACGGATGAATCTCGAAACTGAATTGGTTAAGGCCAAAAGGCTTTATAAAGGAGGATATCGCCACTGAAGTAATGGTGGGCAACATTTCCTAGTGTGCAGTTTTGCAGAATCCATTACTGCCATTTTTGCCCAGTCTAAAGAAAGGGTTCATCTAGACAATGAAGCGGAAATTGACTATCCTTAATTAGTCCTCATTTTAAGTTTATTGGAAATTATGGGTTTGTCCCCTTGGCGTTTAGAGGTGAAGGTGAATTATTATCATGACTGACGCATCTCTTGAGTAGTACCAGTTAAACACCTAATAGAACAACTAGCAAGTTTCTGATGTTCTACTTGTGCATTTGAGAAGTCAGGATTGTTTTCCTTCTTGTTCTTCTACACCTAGATCAACCTGATCATGTTCCTTTATATAATATTCGGTGAACAAGACAATCGGAAATCACTCGGCTCGTCTACAACATGTACTCATCCCGATGCGGGGGCTGCTGGAAGAGGTTGTGGTTGTTGGTTCGGTTTGAGTGGTGGCGGGTTTTGATTATCTCCTGGCCGAGGGCTCGGTGGAATCGCTCCTGCATTTGGCATATTTCCACGAGACAGTCCACTGGGTGGTGGCCCATCCGCATTCACGTGCTGAAAATGATTTCGAAGTTGGGAACAACCTGCCTGTAAGGGAAAAATGCATTTTACCTGATGAGGTATAGCTTCTGTCGTGATAAGTATGGAAAAAGCAATCAGGAAGTAGGCAATCATGGGGTTCTGAAAAGTTCGGTACGAATTAAAAAAAAGCGTCATTACTCTTTACACAAGATTCGAGGATCGAGAAAATCCATGTTTTATTGGTGCGGTTTGCAAATGCTAGGAAGCCAAAAAGGCTTCGATCGAAGTGACGCCATAATTGGAGGTAATCGTTCAGCCATCTGGTTCATTGCCGCGCTTCCAATCACAGAGTATAACATTTTTTACGAAAAAATGAAGAGCAGATCATAATAGAAGAAAAAGTGTCAGTGTCAATACGACAAAGTGACTGATGAGGATATTCAGAACGCGTAGCCATGTTAATAGTCATGAACAAATTGGGAATCGCTTGCTTATTTATACGATGTGGTAATGATGTTTTGAACAATTCCACTACGAATCTCAAAGTTCTTGTTGTGAACGATATCAGGGAAACCCACCGCACAAATCCGCGGCTTAACCTCGTTATCGGTGGTTAGTTATGGTTGAGTCAGCTCAAATATCCTCTCCCGGCCCATCAAATGTAGTGGATATGGTAGTAAATATCTAGCAGGAGCTTTCGAAGGACTCCATGATAAATAGTTCACAGAGATCTGAATCGTCAAAATTTTTTTTGCCGTGCACTGTATTGACTTAAAATTCACCTACCATCTAAATATTATAACGTCGCTTCGTTCTAGAGACTTCCTTGAAGAGTGCCACCCATAACTTCGTGTAAACATTACCCGCATTTAATTCTTACGGTTATCGATGCTGTCTTTCGATTATGCAGGGTCATGAGGGTGGTTGAAGTAGACCGCACAAATGCTTTTCACACTGTTTTTTTTTTCTAAAGCGATGAATTGAAGTGAAAAATCTCTGTCTCGACCGGTGGAAGTGCTGCGCAATGATATGAGATCTACAACTGAGCTGAAATCAAGAACAATGCTGTTTGCTGAATTCTTCTTGACTATAACCTCTCCGGCTTGACAGGAAAGTAAAGAATACGATTCTCGATGAATTTATGTTTGTGGTCACCTGCCTTCACAAGACCTCAACAACTTCTTTTTCTCAGTAATGCATCGATTGGAACCACTAGTGGCTGGATAAAATGACCTGATGGAGAGGCTGTATAGGGTGAAAAAAGCGACTTGTCATTGGCCTGATTAATTACTTCATCGTCTCTGTGATAGTTCGCCTGATCACCAGTAACCTAATGGGACCGATGGATATCTTCTGGATATCTGGATATGGATACTTTCACTAATCCTCATAAGCTCCTGTCCTCCGTCACTTTGATTTTGCCAGGGGTCATCCAGCAGCCCTGCCTAAGAAGGCACGAAATTGATGCGGTGGATAGGTCTTTCACGGTCCAGTCAAGCAGCGATCCTAGTATTTCAGTTAATCAGTTTCACGGTTTGCTCGGCATTAAAGGAAAACTATCATGAGAGCGTCGACATACCATTTGAGTCAGCTTGGCGAGACTTCACGAACTTCAACGGGTCACAACAATATGTAGAATACATCGTCTATTGCAAGGTTCATCAATATCACTCCCTAAGTGCAATTCAGTCTTTTTGACTCGCTATTTTTGGACAAAGTGATCAAAAATGCGTCTGATTGATTGTTGGTCAATGTGAGCCCCTCGGTATAATTACCCATACATTATGGAAAAGAAATAAGAGCATTCTTCAAAGTGTAATCTCAATAAATAGCTTAATATGATAAAAACTCAAACAAGAGTTGATAAATGAGAGCATGAGCAATGAGATCAGAGCAGAGCAAGTTTGCAGAAGACAGAACATAACTCCTACTAATAACTGGCCCTTCTAACCATTGTTATATGCCGATTTAGTCAGTGTTTCAACTGAAGAGGTCAACCTCGACCAATACTGGTACACCACACACTTGTATACTTCTTTTCGTTGTTCATGTGGAATGGGGTTGACACAAGCACAAGAATGGGTCATTCCCAGGAGGGGAAGTTGAAATTCATATAAGCTATACAAGTCTTCTAACCCCTCAAGTAAACTGATATTATCAGGTTCTTTGGCGATAATGCTCTATGGGCTGAATGCACTTTTGGGAGATTGCCCATACCATAGCGTCCCTTACTGTTCGTTTCTAGAAACATTCCCAGGCTTTCTGGGCAGTGATGTTTATCACTTGTCAAATTCTATCTGTCACGTTGTGCAAGGTTCGTTATTTACGAGACGCGTTTCGATCTGCTTTCTGGGGACCGGTTATCGACGCCATCCAAGGTGGAAGTGCGAACGACCTAGCCGCCAGGAACATTGCTTCGGCAGCCTTTCACGCCATTTTTTACCATTGATTTGTTGCGATAGTTTGTCAAGAACGGTAGCTGCTATTCCTCTCGTTGCATCCTTCATTTTGAAGGATTTATATGAATCGTGAAGAAGGACGTTTCGAGAAACGATCCAACGCTGGTCGTTCAGATATGATTCTTTTTGACAAGGTTGCGCTGCCAGAGTACTTCACCAATCTATGGCAATGGGATGTCGAATGGGAGGAGGACAATCCCGATTATCGCTGCCTTCTTGGACGTGTTCACGTCGTGGTGAGCATCTACCATCGTTGATCTGGAATAGATTGCTTATGATAAATTCAGAATGCTGCCAAAGTCCTTTTGTGGTTCGAACTTCTTGCAGTACCACTCTACATTCTGTTCCTCTTCCCATGGTGGATTATCTTCATCGGTTTGTTGCAAATGTTTCTTCAGAGATCGTAATGCACTTTGTCTGTCGTTTCAGGACCTCATCTTGTCATAATCATTCTTACTTTGTACGCGTTGAAAAAAGAGAAGCATAGATGGATGTGGCCGATCAATCTTTACGCGGTGAGTACTTTTTTTTCTTAAGGACTTCAAATCTTGAGCCTCATATCCATACTTGAACACAACTGCTGATGACCATTTGCTGAAAAACGTTACTAATAAGTTCCCAATCGTTTCACCAGAAGTTGTCAACTGTTCCACAAAGAATTCCAATGTCACGTACGTACTCGATTCGCTGTTGTAACATCGTGTGCGGCCACACCCTGCAGCAATATTCTTTGAACTAGAAACAACCATGGGATAAGAATTTATTCCTACTAGAAAGAAAATTCCGAGAGTACGTAATGCTTGGTTCACTGCTCACGAGCCATATGTTTGGGGTCGTAGGGACCTGTGAGGAACAAGTTAATGTGTTCAGAAAAGCTTTGACAAAGCTGTCGATTAATCGCAAAAGACTCATTGGCCAGGTTCGTAATCAACCTTGTGAATTCAAGCCCTAGGGTCAGGGATGGCTTTCTTTTTTAGAAAGTGTATTTTGTAAATAAGATCAGTAAGCATCCTCCAATGAAATTGTCACGGTTTAAGGGATGGACGGCAAGTCTTGTTGGTTACTAACATGGACATTTCTTCGAGAAACATAATTATTTTGAGTCGATGTTTGCTAAGTTGTTTCGCCGCAGTATGCGAAGCGAAGGTTTCACAAGGTTGGCGATTCGTGGAAACTTATGCCTCGGACGTGACTTGAACCAGTACCTATTCTATCCGGACGCTGTGCTCTTAGCCCTTTCACTACTTAGACAGCCCGTACTCGCCTTTTTAGTGATTCATATGCCAAAGCTTATAGGCACTTACGCGTACACCGTGGCATGATTGAGAGTCCCATCCAAAGCCGAAGTTTTGCTCACAAATCGCCAGTCTCGTAGGCTTAAGACTCGCGATTATTGTTCTCTGGTATATGACCAAATCGTAAGGGGAGAAGGTTAAATTTGAGTCTACCAACAGTTCTGGTGCAGTCGAAGATTGGATCCTTTGGTGGGGCAGTCTTTCCACTGAGACTTGCTTCGATGTTTTCACTAGTTCATCTTAGAAATGGTAAAGAAGGATAGAAGACAGAATAAGGGCGGCACCTGCGCTACCGTGCTTTCTGCTTTCAAAATGATATTCACAGAATTCAAGTCGTCATGAGCTCCTTTGTATGTGTACTGACCAAATAGCTGGTTTAACTTTGTTTCTTACATCTACAGCCAGCAATTTAGAATCAAAATTCTATTTGATCAGGAAATTATTCTACATTTAAACATCCCATCTGTTCATTCAACACCGCAATCCTAGGCATTCCAATTCGCTCTATGGGCCATAATAACAGTTCTGAAATTGATCGTTGCTATCTTCAACACCGACGCCTTCTTGAGTTTTTACGGACAAGGCAAGTCACAAAACATTCTACAGCTCAATAAACTTATCCGTTGTGCAATCATTGCAGTGATTTCCTTTGATTCGATCAAAGATCTAACTCAATAACCAGTTCACATCGTTATCTCTGAATGATCCAAAGCTGAAATTTGTTCTTATACGAATGTGCCTATACCACCTGAAACATTGTATCCATTTTGAATAATCTATATTGATCTGTGACAAAAATAACTGCCTCTCTGAGTTTCAGATACCATATCTCGACTCGATTACATTCTACAGATGAAACTGGCACATATAAATCAGTCAATAATTGCCATCTTGTCATTCATAGGGTCGCGCCGACTCTTCTGAGTCGTTCAGATGCTTTGGTCCCGCTCATGTTTATTATCTCATTATTATCCTGCGTTCTGGTGTGACTGGGTGGATTCGTTCCGCTATTTGGATTTGAGCGCGTACCTCAACCAAGATCACGTTGGTCCTGAAGACTCATTTTTATTGGGACAGCCTGCCAAATTAATACTTCGGCTGTAATTTGTGAAGTATAATGACGCCGAAATTATGTTTATCAGTGTTATCCCCAGAGTTGCTTATTACTGTAGAGAAATAACGAAACGCAACTCTGGAGAGCACCCTTGAAAATAGAGAAACGCAAAATAATGCTCAGGGTGCAAATGAGCGGTCTGTGTAGAAAATGGAACATTTTTACATCAAATCAGTAATTATGACTGTAATGTGTGACGAATTTTCGTTATTAATTCAGGACATCATGAAGACTTCCTCACCAGAGCGATGATAGTGGGAATCGTAAAAGCAATAGTTTTGTTGATTGGTGGAATTTTCTTCTGGAGGTTAACGGTAAGTACATGATTACTGTGAAGGTATATTTGTTGTAGTACCTCGTATTGAACTCCTTTCACCGAGCCCGCCGACTTGATTCTGGAGGCTATAGCTACTCTGGGCCAGTACTCGGGGATCATACCACTTCTGTATCACTTTTCTTAGAAAAACCCTACTGTTTTACTGTTTCACGGGTGATTTGACCAGAGGATTCCGACGTTGATCAGCTTGGTCTCTGAGATTAGCGGATGAGCACTGGACATCCATTATGAATTGAAATGGCGTTTTGATGCGTATGTGTCCTGTATGCAAAAGTT